ACCCCACACTATTGAGCATTCCAAGTTCGATCTCAAATAGTGCCGCCCAGAACCCACATCGCATACACAATAGAAAACTTATCACGGCGTTTTCCCCTAACCTCGGTTAGTTGTTTTTGCCGTGACCAAAATAAAAATTATATTTTCTGTGTTCTAATAAAGAGAATATAAATAACACACACTCCAAATAACATTCTATTTCTATGCCCCGCCCATGTCACTGTTTCTCTCCAGTTCACTTGTGTTACCAACCCACAGTACAAACCTCTCACAGCTGCTGTGACAATTTTTTATTTTTCAATTTCAATACTCAGACACATATAACAAACTCTCCAACCCACTTGCATTATCAACCTTCAAATTAATCGCTCATATCCTCCCGCTGCGTTGCTCAATCCTTCATTCGAAACTCGACGCTTGAAGTAAATGATCTAGCTGTCAAATTCACTACTATTTTTATTTATCACTCACGTTTGAAAAATAGAAAATATAATGCAATGAATCACTGTTTGTGTTTTTGTGGAGCTTAAAAATCCAGTCTCAAAATAAAACAATGCTGGGTCACACTCGACAGTCTCTCGGATTTCCTCTCAATTTATTTTGTTCACGCCTTCTCCAGTCCAATCTCCACAACCTTTGTTTTTCCTGGCCAACATGTCTAGTGTTAATAGAACATTTCATTTGATCTACATCTAAGTCACACAACACGACCAAGTCACAGAACCTTGTAAAATATATAATATCCCAGTTAAGTTTCAATAACCCATGGAATAACCCAACAGGGTTATAGCATATTTCACGCACACTGTATCATTGAAAAGTCAAGTTGCATGCGGTTTGTCATGAATAGACCGTCAACAAAATGGCATTTAATACAATTGCGTAAAAATACATCTTTATTGCAACTTATCGGTCCACAAGGACTTTTCTCAAATACTCCAGGAAACAACAGTTTTTATTCAGTTTCAAGCTCAAGCTCAATCAATGACGAAACATATCGTTCGCGTCTTGAACGGATTTAGTGTGGGCCGAAAAAAAACGGAACGTGGCGCTAGCCAACTACTCGAACATCTCATCTTATGATGCCTTTTGGCTTTAAGAGATTTATATTTTCCTATGGGGGAAGCGATTTTTTTTCGATTCGTCTCCCTTCTACATCCCATGATTATTACCATATTTTTGTTTCATTCCGACCACAAACTGGAATACTTTTTTCTGACAATACTATCGACCACCCAATCTGCGTTGCTGCGCTTTGTTTCTCGCGAGTCGCCCTAGTTATTTTCTGAAGACGCCGTTCTTTCACACCTCATAAACACTTATCGCCTATAGTTGAGGAGTATAGTTGTTACGGTTTCGGAAACCAATGGATTGTGATTACAATCCTAAGCGAAAGTCTGATGTTGATTTGTTTTTAAATACATGTTTTTGCCTTTTAAAAACACATAGAACTCATCTCTCCACAGTACAGTGCTTGTGGTAGATTTCAGTTGATCTGAACTGTTACAGTATTTAAATGTCACGCGTAAGTCTGATTTACGCGTACGCGTAAGTCTGATTTACGCGTACGCGTAAGTCTGATTTACGCGTTCAATTCATTTGTTCTCAAATTTAAATACCACGCGTAAGTCTGATTTGCGCGAACGCGTAACTGCCATATAGACAAAAATGCGCCTCACCTTTTGCACGCGCAACTACCCTCTAGAGGCACCCTTACATACCTCAATTGTCAGAACACTCATCAAAGCATCAAGGCAGTCAGGTAGGGCACCAAGGTAGTCTGGTAGGGCACCAAGGCATCGAGGCAGGTACGATGTCAAAGCAGTCTGGTAGGGCACCAAGGCATCGAGGCAGGTACGATGTCAAAGCAGTCTGGTAGGGCACCAAGGCATCGAGGCAGGTACGATGTCAAAGCAGTCTGGTAGGGCACCAAGGCAGTTAGGTAGGACGTCAAAGCAGTTGCATTCATGACCATCATAAATTTTCAAGCCTTGTTATTGTGTTTCTATATTGTGCAAAGCACCAGTGGTAGATTTGTTTCTTTTGTGTGATATCACCCAATCAATCAAAAATGGATACCCATTTGATGTGATTGGGATAGATAATGTACATGTGTTTGTTGAAACGTGCTAGATTTTTTTCCATATTTGGTATAATTTATGACACCATGCTGTGAGCATAAAGTGTGTGTGTCATCATTGTAATATGAATAGATGTTCTCTTAACCTAGAATACAATGTATAACATAAGGCTTGCACATTGTGGCTAGAGATTAGGACAATAAAAAAGATTTGGCGTTTTGTCATCATTTGAAACCTGAACTGTATTTTTTTGGCAATTATGCATACCATTAGAGTGTACCACATATACATGTAGTTAAATTGGAAAAATTATTGTTTTCTGTTTCAGAAATAAACCTAATGCATGTATTCAAAAGCATTTTTCAATAAATAGTGAATATTTAATATCTTCTTGTGTGGTATCAAGTAATCCTAATCCAAAAAAAAAAAAAAAAAATTCACCACATAATTTTTTCTAGCAATGAGAAGCTAAACATTTGTTTTATCTTATCCTAGTTAGCATATGTTGCTATGACTACAACCTGTTCTTTTTTGAAAGACAGCAGATGCAGAGTCTATACTGAGGTTCCTTAGGGACACACAGCCTTTAAATGCAATTATTGTGTACTAGGAGCATGTGTCTGTCATCTGTGTGAACTTTTCAAAGTTTTAATGTCGTTAATGATCAATGTATTGTTCATGTTTATCTTGACTTGTCAGGTTGATGAGATTATGTTGACTCTAAGGCAGGCGTTTCACTCGGCTTTACAGACGTCACATGTGGTATGTGAGACTTGTCCAATGCATCAACTTCATAAGCTATGCCTCGAGCTAGAAAGTAAGTCTATTACATCCTATAACCTATAATAGTAGTACATGTAACATTTTGTCTATTAACGCAATGAACGCCACCTTTTTGGCACGTTTCAAGTGCTACAGCCTCCATGGACCATATGTTAAAATTTCGTGTAAACAAGCAAATATGTTGTATACATCGCTATGCGTCCCATATCGAACACAACATGTCATGCCCTACCTGATTCAGAGGCCACCGTCCTCCCAATGCTATTGGTGCTGTAATAATTTAGTACTCACATTGCATTCTGGGTGTGGTAAAATTGTATTTGAATGTAGCCGCCATAATATCTCTTCACGCCAAAGTTTGAATAAGCATTTCCAGTATGCCCAGCAGGATAGTAGTGTATATATATCTATTTACTTTATCAGTTCTTTTTGTGGTGAATTAAACCAACAGACTTTGTAACTGTAGTCTATAAAGTAATGTAAAAAATACGGTCACTGGTAGCATAGATGTTGTCGCATCAGAATCATGATCAGTAGACCCAAATTGAAATCCTACCTTAAGTTGAACACCAAAAAGGGTTGACCCCTACCCTGGGTGAGTGTGCCACAGACCCCTACCCTGGGTGAGTGTGCCACAGACCCCTACCCTAAGTAAGTGTGCCACAAACCCCTACCCTGGGTGAGTGTGCCACAGACCCCTACCCTGGGTGAGTGTGCCACAGACCCCTACCCTGGGTGAGTGTGCCACAAACTCAATGGGAAGGCCAATTCCACTGGCCGAGATTCATTCACTAACGATTGTTACTTTGGGGGAACCTTTGGTAAGGACCGCAGGTGCTTGTGTTCGGCTGAGCCTGGTTGACGCCAGGATATTTCTTTAAATTGCCATTTGATGGTCATACAGCCCCGTCATGTAGTCCCACACATGAATATGACCTTTGTGTCACTTACAATTTGCACATACAAATCAGGCAAAAAAAGTCAGGAGAGACAACAGTGACATTCAAAAAACCAAACAAATTATTCACAAATGCGATATTTTTATTTGAAAACGTAAAACTTTGTGGTTAAGTAAACTTCACCCTCAAGTGTTGAAGTCATACAAAAGTTGGGTGTGGATGCTAATAAGTTGCTATATAGACGGAACTGTGATGTATTGTATTTTCTCTTTTTAGTAAATAGTTATATGTGACTGGTTGTTACTTCTTGTGAGTTCATTTAAACAACCAAACGTTTAGGATGCTGACTTTAATTATTTTGGAAAATTATTAAACATGTATTGATTTCATCAAATAATAACATTGTGATACAAAAGTAAACATAAAGTCTGTCTTACATCCTTCCTGGCTGCTCTTGTATTTCATTGTGATTAATTACTGTAGAATACTTTATTTTCGCTTGGAATTTATTTTCGCTATTTTCGCTGAAGGGATGATTCCGTGAAAATAAAATCCAGCGAATATACTTTTTTTCCTATATTTCCCATTAAACACATCAAAAATCAGTGAAAATAAATTCCATACAAAACGCCCAAAAAGCCTTTTCAGCGAAAATTAATTCCAGCGAAAATAAAGTATTCCACAGTAGTTAGTTAGTAAATGGACTCTAGAGGGTGCTGTGTTGGCACCTAGATTAATTATTTCTGTGTTGTCATGCACCCTCTGGTGGTGAAATGCTTTACCTAACTATTAAGTATGCTAATTTGTACCCACTGACCTTATGGTGACCTCATATTTCAAATGATATCATTGAAAATCTCTCCTTAGGATGTAGTTTGTTGATGACCTAGTTTGTGGAGTCATATGACTCGGTCACATTTCATAAATTATCCCAGTTGACCTTGTAGAAATGATGCTAATAGGATATTAATAACTATTAGTGTGGACACAGCAGCTGTTTAAATCATAGCTATTATTACCTGCATTATTTTCTATTTATATTATTACGATTAAAATATTAAGGTTATAATTGACTCGTGTTTCATTTCACAATTTACTCTGCCTCTATTTGTTACTGGTTGATACTCAACGTACATCCCCCTGATTGTACATTTCTTGTATAATTATTCAAAATTCATTGACTTTCCATTATGCTGTGCATTGTTTTCATTTTCACGCTGTATTTGAGTCCTTTCCTGATAATGGATATTGAATATTAAATCTTAATATCATTAATGTGTTATATGAGTTCTCGATATTAAATGTGATGTTTATTCATATACTGGAAAGTTAATTGCCATGTGGTAATCAAATTGGATTTAATAACCATCACATGAATACAGTAGACATCTTTTGCACTGTACATTCATTATAGTTAGTATTTATTTATGAGTTTTCACGGATGTGTCTTTGTTTATTTTCGTGGCTACATTTGTAAATTATTACATAATCTTAGAATTTTTTTTAGCTAAAAGGGCTACCGGTCATCAGAAAAAATATATATCTATAAAGAAATGTATAACCATCACTAGTGTCTCAAAAATAAACTTTTATGAATTACAAATGTACTTATTGTATTTAGAACCATGCTAGTCAAAAGCTTCATTAAATTTGATTGCATTTGTCTCAAGTAGGCAGTGTGCAAAAACATATTCCTGTGGTTTTGGTATAGGGGACATTTTTAACAGCAAATGCAGTTCAACCTCAATATAACTGGATTTCATGCTGAAAAACACATGTTCTATCAAGGTGATCTGACTAAAGGTGATCTATAAGTCTATGTCTAGTTTCAGTAGCAAAATTGTGCTTGAAATGACAGTGTCAGTGTCTATCTGTCTGTCTGTCTGTTTATTTACAAGCCGGTTTAAAATATCATATCCTATTGGTCTGTTTGCTTAATCTGATATGAGTGGTGCAGGGAAGGGCAGGCAACTTTAATAATTATACAATGAGGCAAGCGATGCCTTCATGAAATTAATTTCTTCTCAGAAATACAATATACAGTATGCCAATATAATCAGTGTTTGTAGAATAGTATGGTTGTCTAATTTACAAGGCATCTTTTATAAGTTGGATCTAATGTTTAAAATGGTTACAATATTATCATCACCAGTGTAATTAAACATGTACATGATAAAGTCTACAATATATTATGATTTCCCTTGATATTACTACTATTTAGAATATGTAGTTTATATTGTACATCTATAAATTATTCGTCAGGAACTTGCTGAAAATATTTGAACGTCATGAATAAGAGTGCAGGACAAATCAGACAATTGTGCACTTCATAGCTTTACTTATGTTAACATGGAAACGACACGATCCATTTAGCTTTGAATATTTCATAGTATTTGAGTTTCCTGTCGGTACTTGCCATTTCTGTGAAAACGATGACATTTTATCATTATTTTGGACCTGTTTATTCAAGTAATTTTTGTTTGCTTTATAAAAAAAAAAAAAAATACTGTATAAAATTGGGAACATATTATTGTTCAACCTACCAAACAAAATGGTTTGATGTTATTGTGTATTCAGCCATCTGAGGGCAAATTGGCTTTATTAAGTAGAACAAGTCTGACTGATTGCTTTCCCAGTAGTGCTCAGTTATCAATGCCTTTAGAATGTTCTCCTTCACTGTGCCAATATAGAGGTATATTTATAGAAATTCAGTTGGATTACAATAAATCCTGATTCTGTGAGCAGTACTAGGTACTTGTATAATCCCCTTCACTGCACTTCTAAGTGCCACCAAGCCACATGTAAGTGCTTTGTGTACATGGATAAAACTATAAAGCAAATTACAGAGCTCCTCATGATGTGTTTGCTGATTGGTGGTTTAATTTGATACCCATGACAGCGTTTTATGCTGGTTAAATGTATAGTCGATAAATATTTAATTTATTGCATACAATATTACTGAATTGCTATATTAATTATGATAAATGCATCTGTAATAAACTTATATCACGTACATCAAATCTCTTATTTCTGCTACTAAAAGTACCCTGACCTTGGGTCAGCCAAAAAGTTAAAATCGTAGAATTTTTCGTGAATGTCCTTTAAACAATGTACAATATGCAGAAACAAAATACTGCAAACATTGGAGCAGATTATCGTCTGTCTGGAAAACATGGTTTGCGAGAATTTTTCTGCACCATAAAACAAAAAGAAAGTCTAACAGGTCTGATGCACAAGAATTTTTTTTTCTGTCCCCAACTCTGTCTTTTCATAAAAGTGAAAGTGCAGTTTAAACAACAAATAGACATTAATCATTTATTGTTTACAGAATCATTAAAATATGACTCAGTTCTGTCACTTACATATTAGCATAATATACATATTGAATAAATATGATATGATACAATGCTCACCACCAATGTCAAACAAAAGAAAAACTAATATTAGTTTAAAAAAAAAAAATGGTTTCAAATCACTTAAATTATTTTCAATACACATGAATAAATAAATGTATGATGTTCCATATGGCAAAGCTGACAGTTTTATCATCGTCAACTAATTTATAGCAAATATAGTCTCAACATGGTGCTTGTTTAAATCTCTCGTAAAACATCAATTGTACAAGTTGTGTGGAACCCATATCACACACAACACTGTTTAATGCACGTAAATATTAATACTATGATACTAACGCAGTTATGATAACCATCATAATTTAGATCCTATCTATTCTAACTTTGCCATTCTATTTTTGGAGCATAGTATATCGTAAAGTTGAATTTCTATATATACATGTACTAGATAGGTACAATTCGACAAATTGGGCTCTCAACTATTGAGACTAATTATTGTGGAGTCGCAAAAAGTCAGACACAAGGTGTATGTATATTTATAGATACTTGCTGACTTTGTGTGTTTGTATGATACGTTAGAAACACATGTGTCTTCACATGGTTTGACCATGTGGTATCATCTCTCGCATGTTTGCCATATGCTGCGATACGTACAATGCTAGTGTTTTTTGAGTTTCGACAGAACTTGATTTTAGAGTAATTTCTTTTTATCGTCTTTGTTTTTGTGTTCTATATGGGTCCTATTCGATGTATACATTGCGTTCATTTCATTGTTTGTCAACACAATATTTGGACTTTTGCACTTTAAATAGAATATCTTTTAGTGTAGACGTAAACAACACATATAATTAATATGAATGTAAATTTCAGCAAGTTTACAATGCAACTATAAACTGCCTAGTGACATGACTTGATTGGCAAACTCTTTGTTTCAGGTTTGACACCAAGTAAGATTCATAGTATCTTGAGTAAGAGGCTTGAAAACTTAAATGAGAATCAGTATGCAGAAATCACTGCCAGACTCAAGGTAGGGGAAACTTTCTGAGAAGACAGTTTATCATTTTCTCATTTTCTGCACCCAAGCTGCAAGGTTTTGATTGCTTCAACTCTATCTCTTACAATATGTGTTTGTTAACTGCAGGAAAGCAATGAGAGGAGTGATGAAGAAGAGAATGAGATGGTAGTGTCGTTCCTGAGATCTATTTGTGAAGCAAAGCAGAAATCACATGCACATATTAGTGACAACAATCTAAGAGAGGTAGATAACATCAATAGTTATCATGTTCATTTGATTCAAAGACTGCAGAAATCAGTGTAAATATGAAATAGTTTGGCTCCTACTATGCACTTTGTGGCATTCTTCAGAAAGTGTTGTCAAATAAGTGTCTTGTCAAAGTCGTTATTAAAATCGCATCAATGTGTGTGATATGAAAAATAGACCTGTTTCATGTATTGCAAGTCGCTTGAATTTCACATATTTTTGCGAATTTCGTGAGTCACTGAAAATCATTGAATTTTGAGAAAATTTCTCTGGGGTCCTAATGACACAGAGTATCAGTGACTTTCGCAAAATGTAATTTTCATGAATGCCATAAAATTATCAAATCATCCAAATTCCTAGCATCAAAAATTAAATGGTTTCCAGTACTTTCTAATAAAGTCTAATTTCGATGCACAGAAATATTGATGCCAATGTCTTCTAATGCTTCCTGTATTTTATGGAGTTTAGTTGTACCGCACAGAAGAGTATACAGGAAGATGCGTGTACCATTAAAGGGCGGCTGTCGTCGCGCCGCGTCCTGTTCGATATGGGACTCATAGCGATGTATACAACGCGTGTAAAATACATTGTTTATCTACATGAAATTCGAACACGCCCTGCGCAACGACCACCGCGCTTCAAATGAGCATCTCATGTATTTTGTTCCAAGCATTATAATATATTTTTCATATCAAGTGTTGCATTGTTGAGAATAATTATGTTAGCAAAGACCTTGTATTTGCATCATCTCTTGGTTTCTATAGTAACATTCTTTGTATTAGTGTGAAAATGTGCTCAGCAACCCACACAGTAAGGTGCATGTAGATAATTTAATCAGTGTAATTAGTAGTGTTTCTATTCTGCAATAATGTCACTGCCATCAATGGAGAGATTTTTACACTCTTTTAGTATATTTGTAAGTTTTCTTGAATTTCAGTGCTGGTAAATGTTGCACAGTGTTTTATTATTGAATCACTACATACATGTAGCTTTATAGTAACTGTCCTACAGTATCCCTATTTTTACCTTTAATGTATTCACTATGATTTAGTTGTACATGTAGTAGAACCGGTAATAGTGTTAAAACTAGGGAAGGTCCAAGGTGACAGTATAGTTGTTAATATGGCCCTTATTGTCTCTGTAGTGTCTGCTGATGTTAAAATCATTTTGATTTTTGTTTTTTATCCTGGTTTAGTTTTCGTTAATATTCAAATTTTATTAAAAGTAAGTTTGCTTTGTGTCAGTTGTGCAAAATGATTGTTGTATTCTTCTAATATCTCTGTTTTGATTCAGAGTCCAAGGAATATTGTCTCTGCTGATGAACCCAAACCAATGTCTAAATTTGATTCATTCAAAAATAAGGCGAAGAAATCACTGACCTCTTCCTTTGAAAATCTGTTGGTGAGTTATGATTATTAATAATGATTGTCTACTGCGCACTATATGTTTTATAGTAACATTTCTCAAAGAGACCAGTCATGTATCAACCCAATATGATTAAATGAATGAACATAGTATGAAATACATGTACATAGTTAAAGTGTTACCAAGGAAATCAGTAATATTGTTTATGAATACTGGTAGACTATTTTCATTCACTACGAAATCTTGCATTATGCATTGAAATTGAATGTAAAGCAGGGCAAATAAAGGTCACAGCATTGTAATGATGTTAAAATATTGAATAGGATTCAACAAGTTTTAAGGTATTTTCATGCTTAATAATGTCCTATACACAATTTACAATGGTCAATTTTGATGAAGTCAGGGTATATTAATATCATTTTACCCTCTGAAATATTGGCATTTCGGCTTTGAGCTTCAGAAAAAAAATTTCAAATTCAAATATTTTTGTGGCAGACATTTAGTCAACACTTTTCAAGCAATATGCATGATCTCGCAGTGAACAGAAAAGCATCTACATGTATTACGTTTTCAGACAGACCTGTGGATTCCACGTAATTTCCTCAAGACCCTCTAGATTCCTCATAATTTCTTTCAGACTCCCTTGATTTGTCAGGAAGGCTTATAACTAAATTTCATAATAAAACTGTTAAAATTCAGCATCAGAAAAACTGACATGTATTAATATTTCTATTTGTAATTGTAATTTGTGAATGACAACTGTGTTGGCATTGTATTAAGAATTTTTTAGTAGCTTAATGTCTGTGCACTACAACATTGAGCCATGCATGTATGGGTCTCTGAGCTGGTTTCTGAACATCATAGTAAAAACAGGGACTATGCCATTTTACAATGACGTATTCATAATTGTTACTCTGCTCATAGCTGTTAATAAATAAAATTGTTATTGGAATGATACATCTGTTGCCAGTGTACTATGGGTCGCGTGATGAGTAATGCAAAACAATAACGAAGCAGTATTATTTCAGTGCTCAATACTGACTGTAATTGCGTACATATATATTGTTCAAATGTCTATATTGTGGAAATGTCTTATCCGTATGTAGCAGCAATGGAGGCCATGACTATTGGCCTTACAGACCATGTTGTGAAGTTTGTTGATTTGTTTTGGAATAACACTGACCTTTGGGTAATTGATGCATATTCAATGTTGATATCAATCTGTGATTATGTTTTCATAATTGTTGTGTTGCATATCTGGTGAGTGCAGTAAAACACTGTGTCTATCTCTGTATAACAGTATAGTTTTATTCAACAGCTGGCATGCTTGTTT